ACCAATGGGCCTCTTCACCATAGGGGCGTGACTAAACATCCCCACCCAGTCCTCAAACAGGCCACGCTCAGCCTTTTAGCGCAGAGCAACTTCCCGGAGTCTTCACGGAGACTTCAGGGTTGTCTACCGCTGACGAAGCTTCTGTGAGAGAAGCGAAACGTCCTTTTTTGTTTTTTTGTTTTGTTTTTTGTTTTTTGTTTTTTACCCACAGGTACAGATGACGACTGACAGAACCCTTTCTACCCCAAAGCAATGACACATGCAATTGCATGGAAATGTGTTGTATTCCTTTTTTTTATACACCAATGATGGAATCAACAGTGCATTGATACAGAATAAATAATACAATTTACATGCGTCAAGTATGTCCTAATTTTAAAAAGCGCTGCCCAAAAAAATCAAATGTGTGTTCATCCAAGAACACGGCGAAATGCACGCTTGACGAGATGCTCCCCAACCGCCCTAATTTCATTCTCCTTTGAAAGTGTCGCTCTTGAAGGTGCGCTGCCTCAGATTGATTTCCAACAAGCCTGTGGCGGTAACCATGGCAACAGATGCTCCCAGATGCTCCCTTAGTGGCCCCTTTTTCAGGGGGGGGGGGGGTCTTGAATCAATAACGGCAATTTAGGGATGATGTCATCCCACAGCGCGACGCCGCAAGTCACTTGCCATACGCTGCTCCTTCGGCATGAGTGCGCGTGCATCGAGTTTATGACCTTTGATGAAATATTTGCTCTTTTGTGGCGTCTCAACCGAGCAGTGCATGATGCGAAATACTGACGCGCGAGAGTGCTCCTGCGAATGACTCTGCCCTGCATCTCCGCGTGCATGTTTGCGTCTGTGCGGAATCACTTCCTGATGGAATTTAGACACACACACACACACACACACACACACACGCACACACACACGCACACACACACACACACACACACACACACACACACACACACACACACACACACATGCAACAGCCTCAGCACTCATGATGAATCAATAGTTCTGTCAGTGTGTCGTCGTGCATTCATTGCATTCGATTTGCCATTCAAAACGCGTGGGGGGGCATTTGTTACAGTGACAAACTTATCCTTGTTAATTCTGTTTGAATCTATGCGATCGTGCGACAAAATAGACACGAAAGGCAACATTATACAATTGCCATGAATAGCCATCCATCCATCTAGTTTCTGATCCGCTTAATCCTCACAGGAGTCGCGGGTGGTGCTGCAGCCTCTTCCAGCTGTCTTCCGGCAGTAGGCGGGGGACACCCTGAACCGGTTGCCAGCCAATCTCAGGGCACAAAGAGACGAACAACCATCTGCACTCACACTCACACCTTGCGACAATTTTTGGATGTTCAATCAGCCTGCCACGCATGTTTTTGGAATGCGGGAGGAAACCGGAGTACCCGGACAAAACCCACGCAGGCCCGGGAAGATCATGCAAACTCCATACAGGAAGGCCGGAGCCGGCATCGACCCTACGACCTCTGTGCTGTGAGGTCCACGCGCTAACCACTCGACCGCCAGGCCGCCTGCAATGAATATTGACAATAATTCAGATTTCGCACAGTCACACCTTTCCATCTCCTGTCGGACTGGATGTGAACGAGTGAATGTGGGCAAGTGTCAGTATGCATGTGTGTATGTGTGTGTGCGTGCACGCGTGTGCCAAAGCATAAATCCCGCAATGATACACTTCTTCGAGTTTATAGTACCAGTCTGAGTTTGGTTGGGCTCAGGCAGGAAAACACACTTCCTGTGTCAAAACATTTGTAGTGCAGTGCATGTATGTTTATAAATGTGTGTGTGTGTGTGTGTGTGTGTGTGTGTGTGTGTGTGTGTGTGTGCGTGTGCGTGTGTGTTGAGGAATGCTGAGGTTTGGTGTTTATTGCTGTTACACTGGCGAGAACTGAGTGCAGGCCGGAGAGCAAGAATGAGGGAGGGGGAGCGGAAGAGGAGGAGAAGAACGATTGAGAGCAAAACTGGTTTGTTTTTCAAATGAACTCCCAGTGTAAAGGCAAAAAGTAACGAGTCACTTTCGGGTCCCCCCATTTCAAGCACTTTTACCCACCCGTCGTACTTTTTAAATTCACTGGCAGGATTTCCTACATTATTCATCATTCATTTTGTATTTGTGTGCTTGTCGCGTTCCGTCATCAGCCGTGCACGGGCGACTTTGGCTCTCCCTTTTTTTTTTTTGCCGCTTCACTTGCGCGTCGATCTATCCAAAGCCCACCCGCAAGTCAAACTTTGGTCGGCAACAAAAATACCCAAATCAATGAAGCGACACCTTGTAACTTGAAAAACTCTTGCAAACGGAAGCCAGTTCAAAAGTGAATCCACCGAAAAGAAAAGATCTCATCACATCCGCACCAAAAACAGCATACAAATCATTCCTAAAAGGAAAAGTGGAAACCTATGAAAAATCCACAAAATTAATCCCTTTCACTGTGCGGGCGTGTGCTTTATGGTCGTCAAGTGGATTTTAGCAAGCATTAGCGTCAATACAGTGGGACTTATGGCTTATGACCCCCCCCCCCCCAGCCACCACCCCACCCTCCCAATCCCTTAAAAATGAACCATTACTCGAAGTAGGGCTTTTTGCTTTATCGTCTGGTAATCTGCAATATCCTTGATTTCATAAAGGGCATCTGCACTTTTTCGAGGCCTCGCTTTCCAGAAACCAGGACTGCTTTCCAGAAACCTTCAACCAGGACTACAGTGATCACATTTCTTCTTCTTCTTATTTTTTTTTTTCAATCAATCATGACCCAGCGTAGCAAATTGAGTCACCGTGACGCCCACTTCACAAGTTTGCTGTGGCGTAATCAAAAACGGACTCATCTCAATTTTCCAGTGACGTGCCACCAATGTGCTGGGCTATTAGATTAGATTAGATTAGATATCCTTTATTTGTCCCACACTGGGGAAATTTACAGCCTTCAGCAGCAAGATTGTGGGTAGAAAGAAGAGAAAAGAAAACACAGTTCAATTAAGTGCAATATAAATTCAGAACATTATTGTTACGTGTGACATCACTACCTCAGATACGACACATCCCTTTTGAGCTGCGCGCCCACGACGACGCTAAGCTAGGAGGGGCAAAGTCATCAGTGCCGTGGACAATAAGAAAACCCAAAGCTCAGTTCCTACGAATGAACTGGGAGTCGTCTTTCACTGCTAAAAATATTTTTTCGAGGGGTGAGGGGGCTTCCCCCCCCCCCAGAAGCTCAGTTCTTACAAATGAACTGGGAGTCGTCTTCGCTGCTAAAAATATTTTTTTGAGGGGGGGGGTGGTCCCCCCCAAATCAGTTGGAAAATGATCTGTTAATTAGTTCTCAATGTCCACGCATTGCCGTTAATGGGGAAATTCGGCCCAGCCAAGATGGCCGCCTCTCAGTCATGGTGCTTATCTTACGAATTTGACACCTCAAATGAGCGGCAATTGACCAGTCAGGCCAGTATTTTGGGGTCATGAACTCTAGCTTAGCAACTGTTGTTATGCTAGCATTCAAAGCGTTCTAATGCCGTAGAATTATGAAGCTAAGTATGACATTTGCAAAAGGGGTTTGCGCAATGTGGCGAACTAAGCATGTAAATTTGGTGCCCGGCTGGAACATTTTTAGATAACTAATTTTCAAGGCTGACATTTGAAGTGAATGAAGAGCTTGTTGGTTCCTTGGGTCATCCTGTTTGTCTTCCATTTTGGTTGGACATAAAGTGCGAGTTGTTGCGGCCCTCGCTCGCTCTCACAATCTTGTTTTGGAATCGCGCCCCGTCTCGTCTTGGGTCACAGTCGTCCTCTGTGTTGGCCACGCACACCCGGCTGTTTGTTTCCTCGGTGGCTGGTGGGCCAAGTGTGGAAAATGACGCGTTTTCAGGTTCTGGTGTTTGCTTCATTTCCACCGGGGAAGTATTTCTTCATCTTTAGTACATTTACCTGAAATGTGAAGCGCGCAAGCAGTGGCCACGCTAATCAGGGAAGTGAGCAGTGAATTAGTTCATTGTTGAGCTCATTACAGTCACTTTTGTGTGGAAGGTAGCAGCTGTTCATCTTGGCACTTAGTGGGACTTTGATCACATGATCACACACACACACACACACACACACACACACACATATATCCATGATGCACAGTGGTTATACGTCACCGGGAGTGGAAATTGGGACTTGGTTAGTATTAGCATTGAGGGACGGGCTACTGTCTGCCGCTCAGGATTAATATCACAGATGCTCTTTTGACGCTGCAATGGCTAGCGAGCTGTTGAGCTAATGTGAGCTAACAGGCCAGCCGTTAGCAAAATTGCATCTGAACCAAACATTTTATCGACACCTGCGAGATAATGTTTTCCACGAACCCACTGATGGAGGTTTGGTTTCCAGTCCGTCCCTATCGAAGCGGCTACTTTGTCTCCAAGCAATCTTGCGCCACTGTTTACAACATCCACTCGTTTTTATCTTCCTCATCCACAGGTTCATTTGTTTTATTCTGTATTTTAATATTTTTTTTAAAGGAAATCGGGAAAAAAACAAACCCTTTTGTGGTATAGTATATTTGGCGGTAGACCCCAAACACAACTTTTTGTCATCGTTTTCTGTTCGGGTCAGCGGTACCCACTCGACACCCTACAGTACAGTTCTGTTGTTCGTGAAAAAAAATAAAAATAAAATAAAATAAAAAACAAAAAGGAAAAAAAAGGAAAAAATGGTACCGTTATTTGGGGACACTGGCGCAGCTAGAGCAGGGCCCGAGGGGGCACTGGCCCCCCTTGAAATGTGCCAGATCGAGAACATCTAGTGAATGTTTATTTGCGTTTTCAGAGGAGTTTGAAGGGAGTTGTTAAAAAAAAACAAACAAACAAACAAACAAAAA